ACTAGTAAGGGGCCAAAAAAGGGTCTGGCCGGGGATTGAACCCGGGACCTCTCGCAAGCGTTGCTGTAGGGTGAGCCCTAAGCGAGAATCATACCACTAGACCACCAGACCGATGAGTAGACTCACACCGTGTTCGCGGAGCGCGAATTCAAGGAATGAAAATAGACCGTCTTAATTATATCTACATTGTTATGGGGAAACGATGTTAGTGTTGTGCGACAAATTCGCGACATTACAGTGTAGGGATCGAAACATAGGTTCATCAGGGTGCGTCTGATTGGCCGCTGTCATGAAAGGACTCGGAATACGGTGCACTGGCTGTGTTGTTTACAGTAGGCAAAAAAGCTGGTTGGTTATGCTTCTTTTTTCCCCAGCGCGGTTAAAGAGATAGAATACAGGCGGAAAGAAACAGTGGCCGAAATTCATGCTTCATCAGGAGGACGTCCATTTGAACCGTATCTAAATCATTACCGTGTGGGGAGCTCAAGAGACTTGCAAATTGAACCTCGCTTCCGACCTGGTACCTGTACCTAACCAAGTATACGTAGCGTAATTTTCGCGATGAGTGCTAATTTGTTATTGTTCTCTGGCAACAACCACGTATTGGGATTTATTCCTCCATCCTCTCTGCCCTCTCATCCAATTGCCGCATCATGGCTTCTTCCTCATCCATCTCGTCTGCCTCAGCACCGGTACTATTCCTTATCTCCAAGCCACGACTCCTCATCTCTGCGTTGATATCATCCCTCGTGATCATGCCAGTCTTGGTAAACCCCTTCAGCTCCCCCTGAAGCTTCCGCACAAGGCCCTCGACGCTGCGCATCCCAACGACCAGGAACCCCAGCTCCTCGCGGTCTACGTCAAACACCTCCCACCAGGGACACTCGGGCATCTTGGCGCTGATCTCGGCATCCCGCGCGGCGCTGTAGATGGCGGCGACGGCCAGCGCGTTGGGCTGGTGTGTCAGGTATAGCAGCTGCGGGGAGAGAAGGGCGGTGTTCAAATAGGCGATGACGCGACGCGTGATCTTTGTGCGCGAGGCGTCCCCGCAGAAGTCGAGCGCTTGAAGGTACGTTACCGCTAGGCCGTGGGGGAGCGCCACGTGCGTGTCGAAGCTGAGGCTGTAGAGGATGCGGGCTTCGAGACGCAGTATGCGGGCCTGGAAGGCGGCGTAGGCAGTCTCGGAAAGGCAGTAGCTCGATGGGTCTGGGTCTGGTTCTGGTTCCGGCGGAGAGGAGGGCCGGGGGCGGAAGAGCGGCGACGAGGGTGAGAGCAGGTATGCATATACGTTGCAGATATCACGCGGTCGACAGGGGTTGGCACCGAGTTTTGCTACGAGGAAGAGCGAGGCTGCCGAGACATCCTATAATTATTCGACGCGTGCAGTCAGCTTGGGCGCTTCTCCTCGAAGGGCGTTTAGGGAGAAGTAGGTAGATGATAAATTAGAGAACATACGCTGAACTCGTTGGCGAGAAGGGAGTCCTCCAGCCAGTATCTTGCCAGCACAACGCTTGCCTGCGCCGTCGCAGACTGCGGGAGCCGAAGCAAGAGGCCCGCGGCTTGCGTCAGGGCCTGCGTCGCGAAGAATATCGCGTCCTGTAAATCGGAAGGGAGCGCGCCGAATGAGGATGTGCGCCGATAGAGCTGATCTACCGTCGCGAGCGGGTTCGTCATGTGTGCCATCGTGAAAATTGACCGCGGAGGTCGAGGCCTTGTCGATCACGAAGACATTCGATTAATGACTCTTCGTGTTCTTGTTTCTGTGATTGACGACGGGAACAGGCAAGTCGTCCTTGGGAGGATATTGATTAAGCTGAGCCAATGCCGCCCACTGACAAGATTAGGTACCTAGTGCTGCGCTAATGCACTCTATGTTACACCCTATAAATGACGTCGTTCGCCTAATCTCCCAGTCAACCAATTACGCTCCTATCTACCTGAGCGAGTAAGTGCATACCTACCTATGTACATACTTCTTAAGGTAAGCAGGTAGGTGGTAAATATGGTTACTGAACCGAACTGGTCTCGATGTTTTGCCCTCGTGTCTAGTGATCTGACTTAGCATCTACGTGAGAAGCATGTATGATCAGTCATAGGTTTTTGTTTTCTCAGTTGGCTGGCATCGACTGAACTACTAAGAGACGTAGTACAGGCTGAATACGGTAGCCTCAGATTTCGAGATCCCGATCTCAAGTGCCCCGTCGGCGCTTCTTATGCTTTCTGGAATCTTTTCACCCGCCCTCTTCGCTACGATACGCCCCCCCGTAGGTGAAGGATCAGGCAGCTCGTAGAATCGTCGTCCAAACCGACTCAAAAACCCTTCGATGTTCTCTTGGGTGACGGTTTTCTCGTCGATAATCCCCTTCTCAGTGGCTTCTTCCAGGGCCAAGAGGACAAGTTGCGTGGCGTAAGGTTGCGTGAAGACGCCCGCTGGGACAGGCTTGCCCTGCTTGGTGATTAAGGGGTGGGGTGCGCTATCGCTTCCGCTGGAAGACAGACAAGTTACGTTAGAGGCGACGTGGGCGCAAAGGACTAAGGAACGAGAGAGTCACTGACAAGAAGAACTTGGAGTCGCCGCTGCAAACAGCCTTTAGAAGAGCGTCTCGATCTGAGGGCTTCTTTGGGATGGGCTTGCAAAAAGCATGAGGGTCTACCTCGCTTATGTCGCCTGTTAAATATAGGTGATGGGCAGTGATCGTGCCTGAGCGGTCATATATATCAGCAAGTCTGCTAAAAGTTGCATGAAGTGTTGTGTCGGCCTAGTAGGCTAAGCCCTGAAGCTGCGAAGCTTACCCGCGACTGTCGAGCTGCAGGATCGTACCGCATCTACGGCCGCTGCGGTTGAGCAGTGCTAAATACCTGCTGTCAGAATAACTATCAGGACGCTACTCTGACACTATTACTCACCTCGAGGACGATACGAAGTCTCGGAAACTTCTCGTTTAGCCTCTGCAAAGTAGGCAGAAACAGCTCTTCAAGTGAGACATCATCTTTTGGCACAGTTCCAGGAACCTCTCCATGCAAGTTGAGCACAATGTTATGCTGCTCCATGGCCGCGAAGGTAGGCGCGTAAGCCTCAACGAAGTCGCCAGCGACGCCTGATTCCGAGTTTGTCGTGACACCTGTTCCTGTGTGAATACATATAGTTTGACTTCCATTGGCATAAGATAAATTGGGCATTGTCTACCTTGGGGGTACAGCTTCACCCCCGCAACACCGGCCTTTGCGGCCTCGGCAATTACATCAGGAGTAACGGAAGGATGAAGCTGGTTGTGGTTAGTCAACAACGCGTTCTAGATGGGCATATGATGAGCTACGTACGTAAAGAGACATCAAGTAAGTGACTTGGGAGTCGATAGCTTGCAGACGGGATTTGTATTCCAGAGCTGCAGCCACAGTTGTGATGGGGGGTTGTAGGTTCGGCTGTTCATCATGAGAAATCAATTTTCGTGTTGAGCAGAGTAGAGGCACATTCTAGATTTACACACCATGACAAACACGGTATCTACGCCTCCCTTCCGGATATAGGGGACTACCAGGTCCATAACCTACAACCAAGTCAGTCTATATTAGTCTTTAGGTGTTCGAAGAACTTCGGACACACCTGATCCTGTCGCAAGTGGACATGCATATCCGCTGTTGGCGACAGCTCAAGCTGGTGCACATCCTTGAGCCTCATATTGGCTGCAAAGGTAAAAGTGCAGGAGGGAAAATTTGCAGATAGGGTTAAAAAAGGTTATTGCAGCTTGTCGGGAGCTAACCGCGCTTCCTATTTCCAGGAGTTGATTCTTTTGATACAGGCTTGCTACCCACACTGATAGGGTACGACCTCAGGTCCCAGGAGGGGCAGCAAGATTTGCAGCTCAGCCACGTGATTATAGCTTAATCTACCCGAGATCCAGCAGCCCGGTCATATAAAAAGTATCCAATTGATGCCCACGCCACGGACCATGGTTTGCGTGTCGTATCTTTTAGTCCTAGTCTGGAATCCGTATGTGGTTTCCGTTATCGAGAATTCTTTCTACTTTTGGTCTTCCTTTGCACCATCAAAGAGATCACATCCTGGAAATTCGGTGGCTATATGTCTACAAATGCATTAATTTGAGGTACCTAATGGTATAAACGATCTACTCAACAGCATGACCAGGCATGTCAAATTTAGCTTGCTCCTATGATTGGTCAATTAGTACGGCGTAACATCACTCTACCTGTCATCCGAGGATGTATCTAAACTCTCCGTTTCAACGACTTTCGATCCACATATTGAGATCGCCATGGTGTAAAGTACCTGAAGTCATCTCGCGAAACCTCTTATTGGCGCCATGTGACTCTTGTTGACTCTCGTTTGTTAAACACCCTTTTCTATCTATAATTTAGCAGCGGGAAACAGATGTTGTTACATGCGCCTCTTGCTTCTAACACAGCTAAATTTGTGATGTCACTCAGATAAAGACACCTCCTGGCTAAGTGGAAGGAGGGGCAATAGTCTGAGAGGGGCTAGATTAGAGAAGCTGTCAGATAGAGGGGCAAATAGAGGGGCAAACCTCAATCCGCTGTGTGCTGTGTGGGCGCTAGGTACCTACTTGTAGTAGTTATTGGGTTAGTCACGGCATAAGGAGAAGGAGTGTTACTCAACTACTACCAAGTTCAACCGGAACAGGGTCCGCCATTGGACAGCTGGGAACGGCGCCGTTAAGGCTTCTTTCTCTCTCTTTCGCTAACCCCGCTCGGAGCCTTATACCGAGATTAGTATATTCTATTGAGATAGTCAGACCATTAGAAAGGCAATGAACGCGATAATCTATATAGCACCGTAAACAACACCAGTCTCTAGGCTTGTCGACTAGGACAGCACAAGGCTTTAGATAGCAAACTTAATTAGAACGTAAATTTCATAGCAGCTTATGTCCAATAATTTGTGAAAAAGAATGTAACTTAGTATTAATCGGGCAAAAATTTATAAAAGAGATCCTGAGAACTAAGGAAAAAGGAACAAAACTCTCTCGATCGGGGAATCGAACCCCGGCCACCTGCGATTTGCAACTACTGACAAGCAGGTATCCTTACCACTAGACCAATCGAGAATGAATTATGTTTCGACGTGTCCCAATTAAAGCACTTGATTGAATCGGATTCTCAGAAGAACCGGAAGAACCAGGAATTGTTATTGCTAAGAGAAAGAAAATAAAATCTCATGCTTGATGTGCGGTCAATAGCAGACTAGGCAGCCTAAAAGATAGACAACAAGGTGATTGATTCGTGCTTTGTTGTCCTTGTTCCAGGTCGGGGATACTGCATATGAAACACTGCTTTGTTCAACCCCATGGACAAACGCCCTGTTTCCAAGTAAGGATAAAATATCACAATGACCATTGTAATAATGCACGTAGTCTACAGAATAACCAATACCTTGCTGGTATAAAATAACCACAAGCATCCACAACAAACTCGACTATCCAAGAAGGAAATCAGAAGCGCAACATTACTGCAGCAGACTCACGATCAAAGCACATTCCAGGAACGAGAAAAAGGCAAGTCCCCTTCCTCTAACTAAGTCAGACAGCTCATTAGCGATACCAACATGTGCCGCGGCTCAAAAGTAGAAATGAATTGCGGACACGTGGATACACACTTCAGAGCTCTATGCGGGAAGAAATGCTCCAGTCCTCAGGGCTTGACAACATATCTCGACAGACCATGCGCGCGCTGCGATCCGGAGAACACGAAAAAGAAGCTTGAGCGGATCACGGAACTTATGGCACAACTAAGACCGCAGGAAAGCGTAGATAGAGTCCGACAGCTCGCAGACGCTGGTAGGGAATTGAGTCAAAACATGCGCCGAGGTATAGCTGAGGCGCGTTACCTAGCCTACGGAACGACCGATTCGGACCATACTCCCTCCGCGCACAGGGATGAGACCGCCGGGCGGTCGTGGGGCGGGCGAGGGGGCAAGTGGGAGGATTCCGATTCGGGCTCAGACTCGGGACGCCGAGACACAACCCGCCTCAGCGAAGACATGAAACACGTCACCGAGAAAAAGTATAAGCTTATCGACGGGCACTTGTCGCTCATTTCCTACCGGAGGGAACTCGACGAGGTCGATCCCGACCTGTTGTTGAAGCTGAAAGATAAGCGCGAGAAGGAGTTCGCGAAGGAGAAGCGGAAGGCGGACAGAAGGGCGAAAGTCGTGGCCGGAGACACAAAGACCGCAGGGAAACAGGCGGAACAGGGGGGCGCTCCTAAAGACGGTGTCAAGAGAGGTTCTCGCAAACAGCGATACGAGGCGCCCGTCACGCCACCGCCTTCGGCCAGCAACATCCCTCAGGCCACCTCCAACCACAGAAACCCCTGGCCGCGGCACGTTGCGAGCGCGAAGGAGGCCCATTCTCGAATGCAGGAAGCATTTGCGTCGGTTCCGCACTCGTCGAATTCTTTCCGGGCGAGAGCGCAGCGGGATGGCTTTCTGGCTCCCCCATTTGAGGAGCACCACTCGGGGTCCGAGCAAGCTGAGAGCTCTGCGACTGCGGCTGGAAGGACTTTGAAGCGAAGCCGGGCGCATACCTGGGTCGAGAAGCCTGACGATACCACATATGACGATGATGCTGATGTTAGTGATAGTGACAGCGCTGATAGTTGTGTTACGGTGTACGGGGGCCCAGGACTTCAATCAACCCAGGGCAAAGGTAGGTCTGCGAGCCACGGTAAGAGCCCTGGGGTTGAGGACGAAGAAGAAGAAGATGATGATGATGATCTTGACGTATGGCAGATAATTGCCGATGAGAGTGAGGATGACGAGGGCGGGGCACCACTGCGTGGACGAGCTCGCTGTTCTAGAAAGTGATAAGATAGACTGCAGCGAGATGAGTATATAAAAATCGGATCTATTTCTTAAACCCGGTATGCTTTAGATTTCAATAACAACATTCCTCTCATTGTCGTCTCATGAATGTACTACCCGTTCTACCTTTCTATGACGTCCCGCCAAGCGTGAATCCCTTCGGGAAATCGACCTGTCCCAGTCTCTGAGCGATGCCCACCGGATTTGCTACAGCTTCTGTTCCGTCGCCTTCAGGTTTCTGTTGATGAATATTTTCCTTGGCCTTGTTGTACTCCTTGATACGCGCCGTGGCTAATTTCCCCTGTCTTCGGCGGTCTGTCGGGCATCGTAGGAGAGGCACCTGGATAATGGCGGCAAAGATGTCGAATACCTTATCTACCGGCACGTTATGCCTCTTTGCAACTTCTTCGAATGGAAATTTCTCTTGGCACGTCTCAGCTACGTCGACTATCAAATTAGGCGAGGGTTTGCGATATGTGGGCTGAATGAGAGAGGCGGGTGGCTTTATGGAACTCGGTGTCGCCTTGGGGGCGGCGGTTGTGCTCTTTGGTTGAGTTGTTTGAGGTACTTCCATTTCTTTGAATTGTTTGGCGGTGGGTTGCTTATCTCTCTCGGCTTCCTTTTGCTGGAGGGAAGTCACTTGTTGTGGCGAAGGCTGAGGTTGCGGGTGAGATGGTAGAGACACGAAGGGACTGCCGTTAATTGGCATCATTACTGATGAAAAGTTCGACCCCACCTGGTGCATATTACTCGTAGGCACCGTCATCATTTGTGGATGTAGGTGTTGGCCGTAAGGCGAGTGGTAGTGTAGCGGTGGCATCATATGAGGAGGGAGAGCTGCCTTCACCATTGGTAGTCCCTGTGCTCGTGAATATTGAGCCTGGTGTCTCAACCGAGAACAAATATGACACGGTGGTTTCTGCAGGGGGGCTGGACTGTTATGGTCGTGGTGATTTGCCGACGGTCTGGGGCTGCCCCTGGAAGAAGGTTCATCATGGTGAGCCTCAGAATAAGGCAAAGTAGGAAGAGAAGGGGGCATTGGTGTGCTCCTCGATCCAATCCTTCTACCACGATCAGAATGAAGTAGAGAAGCATGACCGTTTGGCCTGACGGGTTCTGAAGGCTGGGTTTGATCAATATCAAGCGCAGTCTTCGTCGAGTGCGATGGTATTGCCGGCTTCTTGACTTGGCCCGGTGTATGGTTCGGGGTTGGGAAGATTGTTAAGGGGCTCGAGGGCTTTGCACAGTCGAATGCTCCAGGCGCATATTGACTATCCTGATTCTGAACACTAGGCTTTGCTGGAGAGATTGCGGACGGGAGCTGTTTGGGTGAGAGTTCGGGAGGACTTGGCTGTCGAGGCCTGCGGAAAGGCTGGTCAAGCACGAAGCGTTCTAGCACCGGCATAGACACGCCTCTGAGAGAGTAAGTAAGTTCCATGGCGTGGATGTCGGACGGGAGGCCGACCATTCCCGTGCTCAGTCGTCTTTCTGTATCTTTTAGGTCCCCGCTTGCCATTTCCATTACTGCTGGAGCAAGACTTGGAACGATAGTAGAGGCAGTATAAATATTGGTGGGAGCAGCAGGAGCAGCAGCAGTAAAGGGAACTGCCGGCTGTACAGACTGAACAGATATTGGTGTTACAGGCTGTTTCCTGCTGGTTCTGCGTCTCTTCACAGGATTCTCGGAGATAAACTGAATCTCATCGTCATCTTCGCCGGCCGATCTTTTGGACGGAGCTACAGCATTGGTAAGTGAGCGTTGATGAGTATGACCCTCGAATCGCCCATGTGATGGACATGATGTGACTTGACCCAGGCCCTGAAGAGAGAAGTATGTTGGCATCATTTTGCTAGGTCGCATAGACACGGCATCCAGGTCAAGGTCAAGATCGAGGTGACGAATTGGACACAACCAGCGTTCTTGAATCACAGGAAGTAGAGAGAGCGACTGAGCTATTTGTAATGGCGTATGAGGCCCCTATAGAAGGCTCGAAAGCCAAAAGGCAACTCGATATTCATCTCTATGTAGCATGATTGCGATTCTTTCACATACATGCGGGCCTTTTCAGCACATAGGAACTGAAGCAAAGGCAAACAAACACCCTCAAGCATGTCAAGGAGGCTTTGCTATTTGCTGGACATAGGGACAACGTGAATTCCGAGCGGAGTTCACCTGAGGCTGATGCACAGACTGGCACTGCCGCTGGCGATGTTCTTGTTTTATCTGGGATGCACATGTTCAAGGGGAATGGAGAGAATGACAAGTGTGATGATCAAATAGGACAACAATATTTGCATACCCTTCCAGGCCTATTGGAGGTATGGTATAAGATATAACTTGGGAACATCAACAAGGGAGAGCTCTCACAGCGTAGCTGTGCTAGCTGCATCATCATCTTATATATGGCTAGGCATATGTTGAACAAGGAACAATGTGAAGTGATACATGGAGTAGGCATCACATCAATAAGAGTAAATAGAAAAGAGAAGAAGAAAGCGAGCAATCAAAGTACCTCCATCTGCAGGTACGCCAACTTAAACCACTGCAGTCAAGAGGCAGTGTCTAACTTAACCTATTTGTACTACATGTATGTGCTTGAGTAAGGTACCTACCTACATGTATCTAAGTGGTTGATACTAGATGTAAGGTATGTCTACATGTACCCACAGTACAGTACCTAAGGTGGATGTACTTACAGAGGCCGCGGCGGGGTGTTATTGACCTGGGACATCCCTTGAGAAGTACCTACCTCCAAGTAACCTTAACAGACAGACTTCATCCTCTGACAATTCAAGAACGAGCCGCACCTGGGCACAGCTTCACGAATCCCTTATTTTTGGCAGAATCCTGCTTCAAGCCCCATCTGGTTATTGGAAGCATGGAGACAGCTACAGTGAACCCCCTCCTATCGACACAGAAGTCCTCCGACTCGAGGCTGCAAGCAGTTCTGCACCCTCTCGTCCTCCTCACCATCTCCGACTACATCACGCGCCACACCCTCAGAGAACAGCCCGGTCCCGTGATAGGCGCACTGATAGGACAGCAGAATGGCCGCGAAATCACGATAGAGCATGCTTTTGAGTGTGCCACGCTCCCTAAAGATGGGGAGGTCATAATAGATGCTGACTGGTTTGAGCAGCGGTTAGGCCAGAGTGTGTATTGACCTGCTGGGTCCTCCCTAGAGAGTCAATACCACGACGACGTGTTGCTGACGATAGAGTCAACAGTGAAAACCATACATAGTT